CGAGGAAAATTCCGAGGACTGACAAAATTGGATGAGACCATAGGCCGAGTCCAATTTGGCAGTCAGAGGAATTTTTCGAGTCTAATTATTTCTTGATTGAGGAGCATGAAATCCCATTACCTACCAATTACATAGCTGCCTAATTAATCCCATATCAACAAGACCTGTCCAATTAAGGAAATAATTGGACAGTTACCTATATGGCATTAATGAGAAGCTGCATAATTATATAATAATAATGATAATAATAATAATAATAATAATAATAATAATAATAATAATGAAACAGGGAGGTAAATTATACTTTGGAAGGAATAATTAATTTGTTGGAAGATTTTGATTTACCCCGGGGGAATCACCAAACGGTATCCTAAACTCACCCCCCTCCTCTGGGGTCTCATCCCATGAACGATGTTTTGTTTCAGGCCATTGGACAAAATTTGAAGGTTTGAGGGCAATAGTAAATAATTTGCAAGCGACATCTTTGTGTGATTTCTTTTTCTTTTCTTTTTTTTAGATATTGGAAAATATTGGGCATCATTTTTGTTGTGCTGTTTAGTGTGCTGCTGATAGTGCTTATCGTGCTTGTAGCTCTTTATTTCTGCCGCAAGAAAGGATCTTCCACCAGAGCTCACCTGCTCCAACCAAACGCGTGATTGAGAAGTCACTAACTACACGTCCTCTCATCGCTCTGACATTGGTTTTCGTTACATAACCAGCACAACCGCGGGCACAACCGACATACCATAAAAATAAGAGTGATGTTTGAAAATTACTCGTACTATTTCCATTTTTATGATTGATGCTTTTCGCAAAGCAAGCAATCTATTCAGTTTTGCTCATATAATAGATTAAAACATTACCTCACCATAGTTAGTAGAGGGGTCACACCGACAGTTAGTCTCTCCCACAGCCGCTTTCAGTGTCGCCACGCAACGCTTTCTCCCCTGAGTAGCCACTCAGGGGAGAAAGCGTTGCGTGACGACACTGAAAGCGGCTGTGGGGGAGACTAACCGACAGTATTTTCCCTCCAGAAATATGAACCCAGTTATCTTCTATTAGCGTGGAAGGGGAGTTCCGTAGCCCGCGTGTAAACAACCTCTCATATTACCTATGCTCAAGTTTGAGCAAGTACAAGATACCTCGGTTTGCAGGTCAGGACATTGTCGTCATTGTCGACCCAAATAACGATAAGCCCTTGGAATAAAAGCAGGACAGAAAGACGAGAAAGGAAATAAGGTAATGATTATAGGAAGTAGACGAGAATAGAAAAAGTAGGATAGTAAAGATAGAGAAATAACATACACTTATGAAGTTAAATGTGTTTTATATCTCTCGTCACTTTTTAGTGAATCTTACAAATATTAATTATATCAAGAAAACCATTTGTATGTACGATTTTTTCCGAAGAAAATTAAAATTATTTGAAAGCTTTTTCAGTCTTTTAATAGCCTAACACAAACACTTTTCCTTTAAAAATCTTTTTGTTACGCGATTTTCACTTGAGTAATTCTTAAAGAATTAACGGTTATTGCGATGTCTAGGGTTACGCGTCTATGCCAAAGGACGCTCTGAATTAATTTCCATTTAAAAACTTTTGAGTAACGTATGAAAGTGCTGTAAGTTGGCTTCCTAATGGCCTGGGTATCTACATACAGTTTTAGTCGAATTTAGGTCAACAATGCAACAAAATAGTCATTGATTCAAGCCTACTATTGTCATCTTGCTACAGATAAATTTAGATCATAATCGAAAAGCTGTCAATGACCGACCAATTATAACAGCGAATTAATGTAAGCGTGTGTTAGCGTGTCACGGCGGGATTTAATGCGTAAGCGTTCGTTTTGTTTCGAAGCTGAGGACGCCAAGTAGTAAATGAGCACTAAACACAACTCAGCCACGTTGGAAAAACTGCAATTCCTCGATCGGACAGCTGTAAATCAAGAATTTTTCTAGTAGACTTAAATGGATTTCTTTCCAGATTGCTTCGTTGTAAAATATTTTTGATCCCAATTCCCTGAGTCATAGTTACACAGTTTCAGCTTTGTTGCTCTCAGAAGGTCGCCGACCGTTTTACTACGAATGGAGAAACTTACTACGGACAAGAAAAAAGTTAATGAAGCAAAAACTTCTGAATTTTGACAACTTATAACTTGGTTTGCATCTCTGGATCAAGTCTACAAAGTCTACAAAGCCGAGGAGAACATTTCATTGGCAAAATAACGACCGTTGGTAAATATTAAAAGTATTTAATCAGAACATCTAATAAAATGAACAGGGAAAATTCGCGGAATGGAATTAAGAGGAATCTGTTTGGAACAGCACCGAACGATCATAACAAGATACAAGAGAATTTAATGCGAGAAGCCAGTAGAATCAGCAGAGAAAAATCCGAGATATGGAATTTTGACTTTGAAAAATTTAAACCACTTCCCCCAGGACGTTATAAGTGGGAGAGAGTCGGTAAAAGACTTCAAACCAGGACATCTCCTACTTTACCAGAAGATAATAGCGATGATATCTGTGTAAAAACAATAGAAAATGTAGCACCAGGCACCAAGAGACATTATAACTTAAGAACCAGAGAAACTAAAGAGGTTGGAACGGAAAATTTTCGGCCAATTGAAGCAAGAGGTTGTTCAAAACTTAGCAGGGTTACTTCGGAAGGAGCTACATCTACGGTTAAACATACAGGTACATCCTTTTTACATTCTGATAATTACTCCTTGTTCATAGGTAGTTTTTAATGCTCAAATTCTAAATAATATGAATGGTTTTATTACACATTTAGGGCTAGCGAAGAAGACAAAACGAAAACATCAACAGAGGAAACGAAAAAAAGATTTCAAATCGACGTAACTCTCCAGAACTGGTTAGTTTTAAAGTTCTATTCAAAAACCACAAATAAGCTTCAGAAAATAAGGGTTTATAGTATCCAAACGTTTGCTTACATTTGATCGTTACGGCACGAATGTTGGATTTTCCCCCCAATTTTGAACGATCGATTGGCGTAATGGTTATGTGCTGTTGTCACTCGACGTGACATATTAACTGAAGTGACAAAATAGTACATATATTTTCGATGGTAAGCAAGCCTTCATCAAACACAAGGCTCGTCAGCTTTCAATATAGGTATAAAACAAGCTCTAGTAACCTCTAGATCATTTATTAAGGAAGAACATGTTACAAGAAAAGGGATTTAAATGGTACAGTTTGATTGTAGTTGACATTTTCATAGTTGAGCGTCTGTTTTTACGCATCAGCGACTTCAGAAGTCGTTACGGTTTATCCACTTGAACGCGGAGCAATTTTCTCTAAACTGCAAACAAAACTTCATCATTGTTATCAAAAAGTATTAAAATTACAAAAGCACTGTAAATAATGCCATGGAACGTGGATAGGTCGTTCAAAAATGTGCGGTTTTTGCGCTCTTGCGTTTGAAAAAATACACTTTACATTGTTTAAAAAGTGTTCTACTTTATTAGTTGCATTAAAACGCTTGACAATGTTATTTTCTTTTCCTGTGGAAAATTTAACGATAAAAAAGCACTTAAACTTGCTACTTTTTTTTACCAAACTCTGCTCGAATTTCACGCTTTTAAATAGATTTTAGAAGATTGATGAGAACAAATGAGTTCAMCATATGTTAGAGTCTTTTGTCTTACCAGACTTCTGGCTGCCTTCTTCACTAGAAGATCATCTAAATCTAACGCTCTTTCTTTTAAGAAGCAAACTTATTATTAAATTTATTGTAGTAATACATGTACATATATGCATGGATCTATGCCTTTGTGTCTGTCAAAAAAAACATCGACTCGGTAGACGGGGTGCATGTGGTAAAAGTGAAAAGAAAAAAGCTTTCCGAAGAAGCTATTTTTAATTTAAAAATATATATATTTTTTAAAAAATTTTAAAAAATGACAATATTTTTGGCAAGAAAAGTAATGCCAGTGAATATACGCTTACAAATTCACCAAATATTTGTAGTTTATCACAATTGTAGCCAGTAAGRAAATAAGCAGTAAATTGTATTTTAATATATTCTTGTTTCTGTCTCATTTCTTTCTTGTCATTATTATAATATTATCAACTCGTAGGCCTGCGTTTGTGCTTTTGCTCGTCTGATTTAAAAGTCTAATTATTTCCACATGTGAACATCTTTACGAAGGCAGCTCTGACAACTTTAAGTGTTGGTCCTTCCGCAACTCAAACCACGATATTCCCCGCCGCCATGGACCAAAAAGAGGGCGGAAGCATTAATATTCCTTTTTAAAACTATTGTTAATTATTATGTACAAATGTACGAAATTCCTTGGTGTTTTTACTAACCCGCAGACCCGCCCGCGTCTCTGCCCTTGTCGTTATCTTTGAGTCAGCAAAGCAACAGTAAACATAAGACCTTCGACATTGTTTGAACTGAAGTACATCATGTGACATTTGTGCTGAAACATGTCTTGAAACTTTTCTTGTTGCCAGTCGAATTGTATATTTTATGAAAACAATCCCTTTGTTATAGGAATATTGCTGAAACGACTTGAATGATTTGTTTTTGTCTGTATTTGGCTTTAGGACTCAGAAAGCAAAAAAAAAAAAAATACAAAACATTTGGACAAATCACTGGTGTAGGTTGGGGAACAATGAGTTTTTCATGCGCTTTTATGATATTTTGCAGCTAAATATATTCGCGTCCCCATAACAACGTACAAAAAGATCAGGAGCTAAAAGTGACTGTCTTGTTTGGGTTTAAGATTTTGCTCCACAATGATCAACGCAGTAATGGTTGCTGAATGAGAGATCCGAGTCGTTACACCCAAACACATCTAGTACTAGAGAACACAAGCGTTGCATGTTTGAACATGCTTCTGGTTAACAGCCTACTACTTCAGTTAGACAGTCGACTCGCGTTCAAACAGATCGTATCAAGCGCTTAGAGGGATTATCTATGTATTCGATTATCAATAAGACTGATATAATCCTATTATCACATACCAATACTAATGAGGTATCTGCAACAACCTGTAGTCTCCTACACATCTTAGATCTTAGAACACACAAACAGAAATATTTATAGGGTTGTGTGAGTGGAATAAGGATGTCAGTATCTCACAGCCATTAGTACATTAGCAGTTCTCCCATTTGCGTGCAAACGGTTTGACTATTGATGCATGACGTGCATCGTCCCCTTTGACAACTAGTATAGATTGTTCTCCCGTTGCATAGACCTCAAGTATTTTATTCCTTGATGTTATAAGTAAATTTGCATTGCCTTATCTTGTGCGCGCGTCCTCAAAATCGTACAAAGTCGTCGCCCATTTGATCATATCCACATGCGAATTAGCGCAATATGAATAACATAGTAGTAACATTGCGTGATCAGATCTCGATCTTGCACGCGTCCTTCATTTGTGTTTGATGACAGCACCTTTTAACAGAATATCCAAATAAGCGGGGGTAACGTACGTATGTCATGATAGATGATGGTAAGAAGGTAAGAAATGGGGTCATGGTAATACAGGTATTGCGCGATGACATGACACGTCCTGCCATGTTGCATGGTTGGGAAAACACAACTGCTGTACTTCACAAATAATTGAAAATGATTCTATTGTTCTGCCATCTACAAGGGTCGCAGGCATGTATGAAGAAGGCCCTGTTTACATTTTAAGGGACCCGATTTCACTTCAGGGAAGGCGATACAGGCATTCTCTCCCACTCAACCACTGTTTCCCCTCCTACGTCTAAACCTCCATTTTGTATTCATGATTTCATCGACGATCTACTGACAATGAGTATGGAATGTGAAGGGGAAATCCTTACAAAATACCAATAACATCCCCACACTATTTGAAGATCGTACAAACCAACAGGTGAGTATAAACACTTTATCATTCAATCAAGAACGTCATCCTAGTACACCTGTTGATGTAGACGATGTCTTGGACCATATTTAGGCAAAAAGCATGAACTATAGCTCATGGTTTTGATCGATTTTGGTCCATTTTCACACCTTTTGAAAAAATATGCATTATTTATGAGGGATGCAAAATAGAGGATTTTATACCATTTTCAGGCAAAAAGCATGGACTATAGCCCATGGATTTGATCGATTTTGGGCCATTTTCACACCTTTTGTAAAAATATGCATTATTTATGAGGGATTGAAAATAGGGGATTTTATACCATTTTCAGGCAAAAAGCATGGACTATAGCCCATGGATTGATCGATTTTGGACCATTTTCACACCTTTTGAAAAAATATGCACTATTTATGAGAGATGAAAAATAGGGGATTTTATACCATTTTCAGGCAAAAAGCATGGACTATAGCCCATGGATTTGATCCATTTTGGACCATTTTCACACCTTTTGAAAAAATATGCACTATTTATGAGAGATGCAAAATAGGGGATTTAATGCCATTTTCAAGCAAAAAGCATTGACTATAGGCCATGGATTTGATCGATTTTGGACCATTTTCACACCTTTTGAAAAAATATGCATTATTTATGAGAGATGCAAAATAGGGGATTTTATACCATTTTCAGGCAAAAAGCATGGACTATAGCCCATGGATTTGATCGATTTTGGGCCATTTTCACACCTTTTGAAAAAATATGCACTATTTATGAGGGATGCAAAATAAGTGATTTTATGGCATTTTCAGGCAAAAAGCATGAACTATAGCTCATGGTTTTGATCGATTTTGGGCCATTTTCACACCTTTTGAAACAATATGCATTATTTATATGGGATGCAAAATAAGTGATTTTATGGCATTTTCAGGCAAAAAGCATGGACTATAGCTCATGGTTTTGATCGATTTTGG